AAAAAAAGACTTAGAAATGTACTAACAATTTGCTCTGAGACTTCCAGGCTCACCAATTTCCCTCTGAAATGCTGTGTAGCTTGGAGGCAATCTTACTTTCATTTAGCAACATTTAAAGGTAACCGTTATTCTGGCTGGAGGAAACAAGCTTTGAGGTGTTTATAGTTTCCTCTGGACCTTTTGCCTTTAACGCAAGGCAAAAGTCTTCCTAACTCCATTCTATCTACAGCAAGGAATAAAAAACTTCTAAGCTTGCCTACTACACAAATATGCATTTAGAGATCTAACAGAAGGTATTGTCTAATTAATTCTCTAGCTTTACGGATGGTCAATCAGAAGATTCAGAACAGCACGTTTTGAATGCAATTAAAGAAGGGGGAAAAAAAACCCAAAATCCTTGAGAAAACCAATTTTCCAATGAATTTGTGGTACACAGTAACCAGCTCTGAACATTCAACTTACTTTTAATAACTGTTACAAGGAATGGAAAGGAGTCTGAATTTGCCTAGCCACAAAACTAGTCACGAGCATGAAGCCGTTCTACCTAGGATTAGAAGTAAACAGATCTGTCAAAAGTTCCAAATTGCCATAGAACACTCGATTTGACTTCTCAAGAACCACACTGTATCGTGAAAAATCTACTGCTTGCAAAATAAACACTTGAAAACATATCATTATTATTAATGTTTCATCCTTCTGGCACTCTGTGAAGCCACATATTAAAAAAAAAGAAAAAGAAGAAAAAAATGCCCTGAACAATCAAATTGTGCAGTTTTGACCCAACAGTATGATTGCGCCCTGGACAAACAGGACACAGCAAGGCAACACTACTACTTAAGCTAATAGATGCACAAACAAAACTTACCATTAGAGGGAAGCTTAGTCTTCAGTTTTAAACTTGCCACCGATGTAGGGAACATACTGAAGGACCAGCTTCCAGTCTGTGAACCATATTAAACCAGTACCAGCTACACCACCCCATGTAACGAGGGTGGGAGTCCTAAAGGAGAGACACACACACACGTGCAGGTAAACAACATTAATTCTCCCCTGCAAAAGGTCTGGCAAATGCTCATGGCTAAGGTACCTGGGAAAGTAATTTCAATCAAGAAAAAAGCTTGGCAGAAATCTTGAAAGAACCTCACATACACAGAAGAGTGTTAGTCCCCAGGGCAGTGAAGAGAGTTTTCTGTTGATAGGCTTTTATTTAAAAAGGGTGCTACCAAGTTAAGAGAAGACACACTTATTTGTTTAACTACTCTCCTGCTATGGCTCGCATCCCCTTTATTCTGGCCCACAGGCTACTTCATTCTCCCTCACACAACACGGCAGTGGCACCCGCTGGCACTGCGACAAATATCTCTAGC